CACACGTCCTGGGCCGTCCTAACAATTACCTGAGCCAAATATTGTCCATTGTTTGATGCATAAACAGTCAGTCTGAATACCATAATCACCGGAAAAATGGACGCAGTTTTTGTGTCATGGTTTACAGTAGTCCGTAGCATATGCGGCATACGGAACGGGTTGCTCTATCATGCTCTGGGAAAGTAAATAATCCAAGGTGTTTAGGTGCTCTAAAATCCGAGTGAATCTCACCACTTATGTTTAGAACACTCTGTCCCATTGGTAGAAGTTTAATTTCGGTTCCAGTACAGCACGCGGAAACTGCAACTCTCCTTTAATACGGGACAGGTGGTAATAAGGCTTTAATAGGTGAGGCCTGTCAGGGGAAGGAAAACGCTATTTAAAAAGTAGAGCGTATAAAAGTGGAAAAAATGGGAATCATTATGTAAATAATCTAATGCTAGTCAACACAAAGCGCGCCATTAATAAAAAGGTGCAAGTAAAAAAGTACCGGAAACTGCCCAAGTTTGCGGAACAATGCAAAAGACTACGAATTTCCGAGATTATAGTATAGTGAAGTAAAAAATGCAATAAAAACCACATATTACTAATAAATCTAAAACGAAACTAGGAACTAAGCTGAAGTTAAAGTTAACCAACTAAAGAAAGCTAAATTAAAATAAGCCAAACTAATTAAACAGAAAACTCACTAACTTAAACTAAAGTCAACTAATTAAAGAAAGGTAAACTTGCATAGGCTAAACTGACTAGACTAAAAATAATCTAACACTAGAGCAAAAGTAATAAAACATAATAGTGAACTATAATATGCAAAAGTTAAGTAAGCCAAATTAACTTAACTAAGGTAAAGAAAACTAGCAAAGATTTTAACTTCAAAAGCAACCAAATGTGGCTAATAAATCTAAAACTTAACTAAAGAATAAACTAAAACCAATCTAGACTAACTAAACGAAGGTATAGTAAAATAAACTAAATTAACTAAACTAAAAAGGAAAACTAAATAGAAAAAATAGACCATAATTTCAAATATGTTGTGAACCATAAATAAACTATTTATGGCGCGCTTTTTGTTGCCAAAAATAAGATTATTTAAACAATTCTGGAACCGAAATTAAACTCACACCGTGCCATTTTGCTGGTTAACTTCCAAAGAAAGTACGACCCGCCACTTGCAAGGTCAAGTTACACTAAAAAAGAACTGCGGGTATGACAACCAATCTGTTATTTGTGCCTGTTTTTAGAAACCTACTGAGGCACCCAAACAGCATTCAGCGGCGAGGAAGGCGAGAGACCAGGAGTGTGTCAGCAGAGTCCACGCTGGACGCGAGGAAGCCAGACGAAGACGATCGATTGCCGCGCAGACAAAGGTGGAGAAAGCGCACCAATACAAGGCTGCTGTCCTCTGGAAGCTGCAGCGTCACGAGCAAAAGAAATGGGAGCAGATTGATCGGGTACGAAAGGGATCTCTCTTCAAAGCGCATATTTGCCAGGCTATGTGATATTATGTCGGTGGTGGTGGTGATTCACTCGAAGTAGCAGAAAGCATGTCGGGCACGTTTCTGCCTGCCACTACATGCTTTAATCAAATATCGCACTAGGGTGGACTATGGTCCTACTCGATGGAGACAATTATGAACGACTGAGAATATGTCTGGCGGAGTGTCCAAGCTATGGTTTTACTTGCAACACAACAGTCATCAATTCGAAATCTTGGATTGCATGTAAAAGACAGAACATCAGAATTAGAGATTTATCATGCAAGGAAATCCCAGTTGCTGTCGTAGGCGGTAATGGTCACTGACGAAACGATGACCTGTGTTGACTGCGTATCGCAAGGTGTTAAAGCTACTCAGGTTTAACCTTAACGGCTGTGATCTTCCAGGCCCTGTTCCTTGGGGTATGAAAGAAGTCTTGGAAAATCTGAGGAGTAGGAAGATTGTTTCGTGTACCGAATAAATAGGAGAATAGTTAGCAGAAGGGTTGGCTCGATTTGGCGTGTCTTCGACCGTGAGAGCCATGTGAGAGAGCAGCGGCGGCGCGTCCACCCCGCGAGGGGGTAGAATGCCAAGTGAGTTTAGCGTCAGTCATTCCGAGTGGCCACCGAATCCTCTCTCTGTCTCGTGGCCTTGATGGTGATTGGTTGGACCG